TTGCTAACTTAATTATATTAAGTTAAAATATAGGGGGGGGGGGGTTCCAAAACAAGTAAAATATTCCACAGAAATTGTCCTTTTAGAGTAGGATTGCCTTGTCTTTTCAAACTTACAAAAATAATTTAAGGAACCAATCATTTTCAAATATTGCTTGCATAGATTTGAGTTCACTTTTGATTTCAAACGTGCATGCTTAGTTTGTTGGAGATATTTAAATGTTTTTGATTGAAGGAAATCAGACATTTATGTATTACAGCTGTTCATTTCAAACAAGTTTTTTTTCACCCACATTAAATCTTTTTGCCTTTTTCAACAGATTTTCATTGGTTGATTTGAATATGAATATTGGGTTAAATATTTAGTCAATACCAAAGATGCCATGAATCTTGCATTTTACATATTAGCTACCAACATTTAATAGTTAAACTGTCATAACTGTAGTTAGCATGAAAGAATCACACCACTAGATGGCCATCCAAGTCCACAGTCTGCAACCAAGAAAGAAGATTTACATTCAAAACATGACGGTTTAGGATATTACAGAACTTCAAATTGTTGAAGGCCATTTTAATGTTTTTTGTTTTTTTCTAATCTCTAATTCTTAACATCGCTTTTCTAGCGTTGTGCATCTACCAATCATCGTTCACCATATCTCTATTTTAACCCCAAAATACACAGGCTTTATACATGTATCACAAATGAGATGCAATTAACTCGATAAAAATACATTTTAATGATCATTTAGATTGTGTGTGAGAGATTTTGCCTACATTGTATCCCTTTAATGATGGTAAAATACGAAAAACTAAAAAAAATCTTAAAATCTAAAAATACGAAACGTTTGTGTGAGGGTTACGTTTAGCAATAGAGGAAGGGAATCGAAAATAATATTAGGCTAACTTAATCAGATATAGATTATGAGGGAACTCAATTTCGACCCTTCTACAATAAAAATATGATTAACAAATGAATAATTAAGTCATTTTTGCTATATCAGATTAAATGACCACCTCGTGTGAGATGTATAGCAAACAAAACAGGCCACAGACAGGTTAAATCTGTCGAGTGTTTTTCCACACTTCAACAGGTGTGTCGTTCCGAGCTGTTCACTGAACGCTAGGTGGCGCTATCAGACCGCGGGAACGCAGCGTCGGTTGCTCGTGACTAGGTATTTCCCAAATAAGTCACTTCAGCTCCTCACGCGAGCTCGCTGAGAGAGATAAAGTGACTGAATAAGAAACCTTACCTTTATGATTCTGATCGTGTTACCGACGTGCTTTGCTTTTGGTGTTTAACAAGACCGGAACGATTAAAGAGCAGCACGACACCACAGACGGGACGCAACAGTAGGCTTCTGATAGTGATCGGCAATTTTTGTAAGACGCGATAAATCGATGGATTAATCAAGAGGTGGGCAAATAGGCTGGAACAACAAGCGTACGATATCAAACAATATGTTCATGGTACTGCAGTGAGCAGGTGGGGCAATGGCTCTATCGGATGGAGTGGAAAACCAACACAAGAAGTCGACTAATTCTTTGCATTAACGACGGTGCCACTTTAATACAGGCCAGATCCTTAACTAGCAGGTCACTTGAGTTTTCACAAAGCTCTCTGTTGTAGGTCACTTGAGTTTTCACAAAGCTCTCTGTTGTTGTTGTTATTTTTAATAAATAATACAGCGCGAGCAGTGTAGTGTTGTGCGATTTTCGAAAGATGGACTCAAATGTGTCGGTTCTTAGTAAATCGTAATAAAAAACAACGCAATCGCGATCAGTGTAGACGAATTTCTAATTAAATGACACATATGAACCGATTCTTTTAAGTGAATTAAAAGCAAAATAAAGGGGGTCATATGATGCGATTTCAAGTTTTCCTTTCCCTTTGGAGTGTTACAAGCTCTTGGTGCATAAAGAAGATCTGTAAAGTTGCAAAGAAAGTCTCAAATCCAAAGAGATATTCTTTATCAAAGTTACACAATGCACTGGGTCAGCTGGCCAATCAGAGCAGACTGCGCTTGCCAAAGGAGGGACTTTGTTGAAAACAATGAGTTTGAGAGAGGCGGGGCATAGAGGACCTATAATAATGTACAGTATTTGAAAAATAATGTGTTTTTTGAACATTAAAGCATGTCAACATATTGTATTACACTAAATACACAAAATAATGATCTTTAAAATAGCATCATATGACCCCTTTAAATAAAAGCGAATGACTCTTATGAATCGTTTCTTTTTAGTTTTTTAAAAGCATACAGCGTGATCAGTGTAGCCTGATTCCAGAGCAAATGACTCTTATAAATCGATTCTTTTTTTTTTCCTTTTTTTTTTGTGAATCAAAACCATACAGCATAACAATTGTAGTCAGATTCACACACAAATGACTTTTATGAACCGATTCTTTTTAGTGAATTAAAAGCATACAGCTTGACCTGCGTAGTCCGATTCCTGAGCGAATGACTCATATAAACTGATTTTTTTAATAGGGAATTAAAAGCATACAGTGTGACCAGTGAAGTTCGATTCCAGAGCAAATTTAATTTAAGAATTTACTAAGAAGAACTATTTTTTTTATAAATTTAAAGCATTTAGCTTGACCAGTGTAGTCCTATTCCTGTGTAAATGACTCTTATGAACCAATTCTTTTTAGTGAATTAAAAACACACAACGTGACCAGTGTTGTCCGATTCCCGAGTGAATGAGTTTCATAAACCGATTCTTTTTAGTGAATCAAAAGCATTCAACATGACCAGTGTAGTCCGATTCCCAAACAAATTACTCTGATAAGGTTCTTTTTAAGGGAACACTTAATGAATCAGTCGGAGCGGTTACTGAATGAATGGTAAGCTAAGCGCTGTTATTGTTTTTATGTTGTAGTAACTGACTGATTGTTCGTATAGTTAAACATACACATTATGCGTTCTCTTGTAATCAGTGGTATTGTATACAAATAAATGTTTTATTGGTTTACATTTTTAGTTTAATGTATGTTTAGAACCAGTTACTGGTTTGTATTTATGCCGCCTCTTAAAAATCTGTATAAACGCAGCTTTTTCAAGAACATTTATTTCTGATTTGTTATGTTTGTACTGATGAAATCTGAAATGATCTCATCATTTGGCAACGGACCAACCAAAGTGAGTAAACACGATAAGAATAGCATTTCTTATGTCTAAATGTTCCTTCCTCAATGTTTCTGCTTGAAAAGTAGAACCATTAATGGAACAATTAAGTAATGGTTTGTGAATCAGAATCACAACCAGAATGGTTCAGTTCTTAATGAAGCACACAATACATATTCATTTGTTCGCAGTGTTGTTCTGCAGCAGAAGTTGAGTTGTTGCACCTTGCACAGACACGCGACACAAGGATGGCTGAAGAACTGCAAGAAAAGAACGCTATCCTCTTTTTCATGAAAGACTACCATCCGCCCCCTCATGTACAATGCCTGGAATAGTAACAGCACTGCCAGGCTTACTAAATATAGCAACCAGTGAGTGTTAACATGTCAACTAGGAACCCGAAAGAAGTGGTTTCCACATGTGTGGCTGTTGTGGCTACACATAATACTATAAATAGATTAATAGCCTATGCAACATGTCTTTAATGACTTATAACCCTCGATCAAATTGTTGCACATCAGTGTCGGTTAACCCTGCCCATGTTAACCATAAATACATTTGAATACCTTTCTCTCTTTCGTGCAGCCTTGTTATAGGCTATGTATGTGAATGGAGACAAGGGGCAGGATGAAACGTGAAGGATCATGCGCTGTGAGCAAAGCAGCAGCTGAGAGATGCAAACAAGGCAGGACCCTTCAGGTTTTAGTTTGCTTTTCTGACATTTGGTGCATCCAGGAAGTTTAGGTCCCAACTAACTTTTGAATGAATGAATTAGAAGAATGGGGTAATGAATGAATAAATGGCAGAGAACTTAATGGATATGGAGAGGATGTGCACATGAAAGGCCGGTCTGACTTTCTTTCTAACATGTTACTCAGGAGGAACATCATTTGACAGCTTGCCCGTTCATAAATATTCACCGTCTCTATTCATGCAGACCCTTCTCTTGAGGTAGTCATTGTGCCTGGGCTCTGAACCATGTGATTCTGATGGGAGGGGGAGATTCTATAAATAGCTCTATAGCTCGGCTTCCATTGACATCATTTAGGCAGGAGAGACGGAAAAATAAACAGAGAGAAAGGGCTATAAGGGTGGATATTCTTAATCTGAGCTTGAAATTCAAACAAACCCTCATCAATTTTGATTCCCCTCTCAACTCTCCAGTAGAAACCACCGGGGCAGTGTCCGTTCAAACAAAGGAAAAAGAAACGTGTGACGGAAAGGCAAAGCAAATATTTTGGATTATGTTATTAATGGGAACTGGAGGAAGATTATGGCCAAGTCTGCCTATGTGTC